GGACTCCTGGATCTGGGGTCAGTGGGCACTGGGGACCTGGACTCGCAGGTCCTGACTCCCAGCCTCCTCAGGAGCGCCTGGACCATGCTGCTGAGCACCTACTGGCACGGCCTCCACCCGGGCTACTACCTGAGCTTCCTGACCATCCCTCTGTGCCTGGCTGCTGAGGGCCAGCTGGAGTCAGTGTTGTGGGGGCAGCTAAGTCCAGGGGGCCAGAAGGCCTGGGACTGGGTGCACTGGTTCCTGAAGATGCGCGCCTATGACTACATGTGCACGGGCTTCGTGCTGCTCTCCTTGGCCGACACACTTTGGTACTGGGCCTCCATCTACTTCTGTATCCACTTCCTGGCCCTGGCAGCCCTGGGGCTGGGGCTGGCTTTGGGTGGGGGCAGCCCCAGCCGGCGGAAGGCAGCATCCCATCCCACCAGCCTTGCCCCGGAGAAGCTCTGGGAGGAGTAAGCTCTGTGACGCTCCCTCTGCCAACTGGTCCCGGGAATTCTGTGAACCAGGCCACTGTCTCCTCCCCAGAAAGAGTCCTTACCTTGGAGAGGGTCCTGGAGAGAATGTCCTTTTCCCCAGCTAAATACTCTGCCTGCAACTGAAGCAGACCTGGGGGTATCCTCCCTGCCCTCCGCCCAGGGACCACCTCCACTCCTACAAAATCAAAGTTTTGTCCAGACAAGAGTCTCGTGGGCCCCTGCTCCAGCCTCTGGGTATCCAGAGAGCGTTGCACTTCCCCAAAACGGAAGGGGCCCCTGGGCAGTGGGTTTTGGACAAATTCCCTTTCTTTGCATCCACAATGTGGTGTCAGAGCTTGGGAGCAGGTCCTGGGAGTGGGAAGCCTCTTTCTTGTGTCTTTCGCTCCACTTCTAGCTCATTGCACCGATATTGCAGACTTGGAAGGACGCATAAGCTTCCCATTTCACAAAGGGGAAACTGAGGTGCAGATGCGTGGGCCGGGGGACGGCCGTCCCATAGCTTCCATCTGAGCCACCTCGGGGCCCCAACGCTCCTGGCACCCTCTTCTCATCCCTTGGCCTATGACAGGTCACCAGGTGTAAATCTTTCCCAATAAAGTGTTGCACAAAGGCATTCTGTCTGTGCAGGTATCTGGGTGATAAACGGCAGGAAGCACTTAGGCCACGAAGTCCTGGGGTGAGGTACAGCTGCCCAGCCCAGGAACCAAACTGTCAGGCCTGGGGCACCGGAGGGACTTCAGCTCCCAGGAGACCTTTCGCATCAGCGGCCCTGAGAAACTACAGGAAGTGTACCTTACTCCCTCTGGGCCACCTACTGCCCAGGTACACACCTGCCCCTGGCCCCTCCCTTACCTGGGGCAGTGTTTGCCTGGTGGCCACTAGAAACAGCCCAGCCTGGGGCCATGGAAGAAAATCCAACCTTGGAATCAGAAGCCTGGGCCTCCTCCAGGGGGTGGCTGGCCCCCCGGGAGGCCAGAGGAGGTAGGGATGCCAGGAGAAGCTCAGATCCATCAGACCTTCAGGCTAGGTGGGAGTCCTGCTGGAGGAAAGGGGAGGCCTGGCCTCCTGAGTCTGAGGGCTAAAGAGAAGGTTCCACTTCCTGATATTATGGGGGAGAAAGGAACTGAAGGCTGAAACTCTGGGGTTTGAGGAGGAGAAGCCTAGAGAACTAGGCTAGTCTGGAAGGAGGGGAGGGCTAAGGGCTGGGAGTTTGGGTGTCTTGGGAATAGGAGAGGCTGGGTTCCCACACTACTGAGCTAGAAGGAAAAGGAAGTTGAGGACTGGACTCCTCTGCCCTGGAGTAGGAGGGGTCCGTGCCTGGGGATGGAGTTGAGGACTGTGGGCCCCTGGGTCCAGGGAAAGTAGAGATTGGCACCCGGACTCCTGGCCCTGAGGGAGGAGGGGCTGGGGACCTGGTTTCCTGGTCTGAGGGAGGAGGGGCTGGGGACCTGGTTTCCTGGTCTGAGGGAGGAGG